GACGCTCTTTTGGCTGCTGAATCCTGTGCTATTACTGGGAAGAAGGGAATCCATTCTGCAAGGGATCCTCCAGTCATGCACATCACTGATCTTACAACGGTTAGATACACACACGCTTACACCGCACTGCAGTTTTTATTTTCTTTTTTATTATGATTTAATTATCGAGTAGTACTATATTATCTCAGGCCTCAGTCAAGAAGGCTAGGGATTTCTTGCCATTCCTGCATCGAAGCAGGAGAACCGCTGCTGTTGTGGAATATGTCCTCAGTGGACATCGGTGTAAGCTTCTGATTCCAAAGGAAACATGCAGTATTGCCTTTTCATTCTCTGGTGTCAGATGCCCTGGCAGAGACGAGCCTTATTCCGATGAAGCAGTTGCTTTGATGAGACGAAGGATTATGCAGAGAGATGTTGAGGTAAGTAGAACTCGATTACTATGCCTGAGATGTATCTCATTTTTCTTTCTTTTCTCCTGGGTTTACGTTTTTCTCGTATAATAACACAGATTGAAGTTGAGACTGTGGATAGAACGGGTACTTTCTTGGGATCAATGTGGGAGTCCAGGACAAACATGGCTGTGGTTCTTCTTGAATCCGGCCTAGCAAAGATGACTAGCTTCGGTGCAGACAGGATCCCTGAGGCTCACCTTCTTGAACAGGCTGAACGATCTGCTAAAAGTCAGAAACTGAAGGTTAGGAGTAATTACGTGTCTTCTCCTCCTAAGTGCCGTTTTGCAAATTCTGATGTTCATTTCATGAATCTTTCCAATTCCGGGCAGATTTGGGAAAACTATGTTGAAGGAGAAGAAGTCTCGAATGGTTCTAATGTAGAAACTAAGCAGAAGGAAACATTGAAGGTGTGCATTAATCTTACAGTTGTTTCTATTGTATTGTAGTATACTCAGTGAAAAGCAGATATTAAACTTCGTTGTTTTTAAAAAAAACTGGTTTTCCCTTTCTCTCTGCAGGTTGCTGTTACAGAAGTACTTGGAGGTGGTAAATTCTATGTTCAATCAGTTGGTGATCAGAAAGTAACCTCGATCCAGCACCAACTTGCTACCTTGAATCTCAAAGACGCACCCGTCATTGGGGCGTTCAACCCTAAGAAGGGCGACATTGTCCTTGCACAGTTCAGCCTCGACAAATCCTGGAACCGTGCCATGGTAGTAATTTAAACTTCCCTTTTTTTTGCATTACATCAAATGTTAGTTATGTTTTGAGTATCAAATCAATTGTATTTTTATGTGTTGTTAAAGATTGTAAATGGACCCCGAGGAGCCGTTCAGTCCCCAGAGGACAAATTCGAAGTATTCTACATCGACTATGGGAACCAAGAGATGGTTCCATACAGCGGAATACGTCCAGTGGATCCTTCAGTATCATCTGCCCCGGGGTTGGCACAGCTATGCAGGCTCGCGTACGTGAAGGTCCCGAACCTGGAAGAGGACTTTGGGCCGGAAGCGGCAGAGTATCTGAGCAATGTGACGCTGGGAAGTGGGAGAGAGTTCAGGGCAGTGGTAGAGGAGAGGGACACTTCTGGAGGCAAAGTCAAAGGCCAAGGGACTGGAACAGAACTCGCTGTCACTCTTGTCGCTGTTGATGATGAGCTCTCCGTCAATGCCTCGATGCTTCAGGTTCCCATCCCATCTTTATTTTATTTTATAAGGCGGAGTTCTGCGTATAATGTGTAATGTGTGTGTGTGTGTGTTGGAGCAGGAAGGGATTGCGAGGATGGAGAAACAGAAGAAATGGGAGCCGAAAGAGAAACAGGCGGCGCTCAACAGTCTGGAGAAGTTCCAAGAGGAAGCACGAAAGTCCAGGACAGGAATCTGGCAGTACGGCGATATCCAATCGGACGATGAGGACACCACTCCCATCAGAAAGCCCGGCCGCAGGTAGGTAAGTTTAATCCCGCGGAGAGAGTTAGGTAATTTATGGTCGGAAACCAGAGACATCATATGATAAGTATCTCGGCATCAGTTATCTCTGAGTTGAGCAAATGTTTGTTTGCTTGAACGAAGCTTCTGTAACGTTTTAGAGTTCTTTTTGTGTGTGTGTGTGTTGGGTTTAATTCAATCACTACCTAGACAGACACAGGGAGTTTCTTGGTTTTCTTTTTTGTTCTCTTCCCGACAGAAGAGTGGTAATAAAGGCGGGAAAGAAGTACGTTACTTTTACAATAAGGCTTTGCATGCAGTCACCTTCATGATCGTATGTTAATCTATGATCTCCTGACCCATCTTATGCATGTATAATCACTCGGCACTCAACACTTGAAAACTGTTTAGAGATAGAGTCCAAGGGGGCTGAGAACGGTGTCTACTCTTTTGGTCCAAACCCTCTCAGGGAACCAGAAGCAAGTGACTTTTGCACCTTTAACAAACTAAAACACAAAAAGAGCAAAGAGAAAGCCAACAATCCTCTTGACGGAATTAGTTGAATTTTAACACCGTTTAGAATTTTGTATTACATTGTTAAAATTTTAAAATCTAATGTATGTATTCGATACATTATATAATTGCATGTAATTTTTTGTTAAATTAAAAAATTGTATAAGTTATTTGCAAGACGGAAGACCTGGGGAATAGATTCCCGATGCCCTACTAGATTCAAAAATACAGCATAACAACAACCGACCTTAGCTCAGTTGGTAGAGCGGAGGACTGTAGTCGTGTGACAGATAATCCTTAGGTCGCTGGTTCGAATCCGGCAGGTCGGATTTTTTTAAGATTCACCATATTTTCGTACGTAATTATTACTAATCTACCCTTCCCTCCCCAAAACAGCATGCCGTGCTGATTCAACAAGTACACAGAAACCTGTAATGCGGCAAACGCAATGATCAATATTGGTGGCCGAATATACAATATTTTAAAAATTTTGGGCCAATTTATTGATTTTCATAAATAATGGGTCAACCGCAAGTACGCAACTAATGGTCCAGCCCGGCCCATCTGCAGTGTACTCACGGTTAGGGCTCATTTCTGTCACCTGAGGCTGAGGCTCCGGACTCCGGTTCCACCTGTTGCTTCGCCTTCGTCCTCGGGAAAACCCTATTTTTTCGATTTCGACAATCATCTCTCTGTCTCTTCTTCATCTCCTGGTAAGTTTTGGATCCTCAATTCGATCTTCGTTTTTATCGTATGTCGATTTTCTTCTTTCAAAGGGTTTATCTCGACGCATTCGGCCCGTATCTGTTGCTCTTTTTCCTGTTTCATTTATTTTATTTCGGATGTTCCTGGCGATGAGATATCGTGTAACCTATCTTACTTATTACTTCAGATTTTTCTGAAGATCTGGAAAAATCAGCGGCTTTTGTATCTTAGTTTCTGATCACCGGTCCGGTAATTACCGGCGATGGTACGTTTTTTCCCGACCCTTTTCGCTATCTAATTTGATATTTCACGTTCTAATGTCTGGAAGTGGGGTGCTTGGAAAAATGTTTGAAGTATTCATGGGCATCCGTCATAATTCAATGCTAGCACTGTAGGGGCACTGGGAAATTTACTGAGTTTCAAAGATTTACCTTAATTTTCAAATTAAAGATGGAACTTTCCTGGAGTTTAGGTCAAAATGGAAATCATTTCTGGTCATTGGATTGTAAGTGAGGAGTGTTGGGAATACATGAGAATACTTAGGAATTTATCTTATTCTTATTGCTTGAGATTTGAGAATTCCTGTTGTGGAACATTTTGGCACTAAAAACAGAGCTATTTATTTGTCTACTTGCTCTCTAGGTTTTATACTATCCTAATACAAAACAAAGTACAATTTGTTTGAACATCTTGGAAATGCCAAGTGGCCTTTTACTCAAACATGCTTTTCTTTTTTTATGATAGGGAAACTTTTTCTTGTTCTCTAATTAACTGTTCATGTTTTGATTTTATGTTTGTGCAGGCTGCCAAAATTCTTGCCAATTTGATTGTCATGGGCTCTGGTATTGTAGCCAGAGCTTTTGTTCAGGCATATCGTCAGGCGCTTACAAGTATGTCTTGTAACTGTCGTTATAAGTTCCATAAACTTTTGCTACCGCTTTGCCCTTTTTTTTTCAGGGTTATTTTGATACAATACAAGGGGTAGGCCATTTGGCAATTTAATCATAATATAACGTTTGATAATGGGTTGCAGATGCGTCAAAAACTGGCGTTGCACATGAAGCAGTGCAGAATATTAAGAGAGGGAGCAAAGTTATGGCTGAACCAGAGGCTAGACAGATTCTTGGTGTGGCAGAGAATTCATCATGGGAGGAGGTTGTAAAGGTTTGTATATGTGATATTCTGTTACTGTCCAAAAATGAATCCATCTCTTCCATGGGAAAGCATAAATGTTTTTTTTTTTGTGTCACACGTCCCCTCTGCAGAAGTATGACAGCTTATTCGAGCGGAATGCACAAAATGGGAGCTTTTATCTGCAGTCGAAGGTTCATAGAGCCAAGGAATGCTTAGAGGTGGTTTACCTGAAGAGAGCGGAGGAGAATAATGGGGCATAAGTAAAGAGTGGTGACGAATCTTTCCAATCTACTTATCTTGAACTTGGACGGGGGACCATTCATCGGATGCATTCATCTTGGGCCTTTTTCCTCGTAAAATTCTATCTTTTGGTCCCTCTTTTTCCTGTATGTATAGGTTTTGCAGAATCCTTCGATAATTTGCTGGCAAATCCAGTGAAGGAAATTAAATTAGAAATATCTTTTTTGATACCTGAATCATGCTACATTTTGTTTTGATATCATCATGTCTTTTTCTGGTCATTAGTATGGCAGTTGTTTACTTCTGTATCAAGAATACGCTTGATGTATGTTCATGGACAGCATTTAGCAACTGTCACATGACAAATCTCAGTCATAACTTGAAAAAACTGTCATCTCCAATAGTATGATGCTACACTAAAGTTTCTTCTTCACATCAAATTCATTCACTGAATGCCATTTAGTGGAGATGGCAAAGCACTGGGATAGGAAATGTTGAGACTTTAATGAAAGAGTTCACCAGTTACCTGATAAAAACTGTGCAGACAACCTTCGAGCCATTGTTCCTGGGAAGTTTCTCCCTGCAACAGATACATTTCAGGGTAGGCATGATTCTTTTTCTTTTTCTGTTCCCCTAAGACGCCAAATCATTGAGAAAAGGGAAATCATAAACAATATGCTGATGAATATATATTACATGTACGTGTTCTGCATGGGATGGTGCAAGTGTTAGTTGTGTTGTTGTCTGTATTTAAATTATGATTGTCAGTTAAATTGCATACGTGCAGTTGTATGTGTTGGTGATATATGTATGTCGAAGTTTATGTAATGTGTATGCAGAAACCTTTGATCATTTTCCGTAATATAATAGAGAAGTGTGTTCGTTTGAAGGCTGAGTTCGGACCGGATGAGAAGATTCGAAGCATGAAGGTTCCTAACTTGCTGAGAGAGTATGAGAGACAACAAACGAAGAGTGACGAGGCTGTGCAAGGAGTATGTTGATCGTCTTCATCAGCATTGTGAACAAGGTTAGAATTCTTGGAATCGAGATAGGAGATGGCAGGATTGTTCAAAAACTCACGGCTTCAGTCCCTGAGAGATTCGAGGCCGCGACTGCCTCTCTTGAAAACGCAGAGGAGTCAGTCTCAGATTAAACTCGCTGAGTTGCTTAACACTTTGCTAAGCACAAAGAGCAAAGGGCGTTTGATGAGAAAGCAATGAAGGATGACGTGAAAGGGAACAAACGGGTCAAAGGGAGAGGCAAGCTCTCGTAAGGCAAGACGGGAAACCGGTTCGGAAAATGGGATGATGCCGAGAAACAGGAGACCAGTTCCGTCATCTCTGACGGCGCATCATGCGGGTGACAGAAGATTCACAACCTGGCCCCAATGAACACTTGACCGAACCATTCGGAATATCGTCCTTTCAAAAGCAGGAACACCCAAGCGAACCATCACCACTTCCTCTCTTGTTAGAAATCTTGTTTTAGATTCTTGTTCATGGTCATCCCTTGTTTTGATTACCCTTGACAGTCTAATGACCGGGTTGTAAGCAAACTCTATTTTTTCGGGTGTATATACAATCACATCGTTACAAAAAAAAAAAAAAAATTCACAACCTGGCCAATGGTAACACCATGAATGTTCCACGGATACAACTATGGGCCGACGAAGGCCCAATGGCAAGAAATAACGTAAACGCTTCGTTTTTGTACTTGTCTTCTTCACCATTCGCCACCTCCGCCGCTTGCTTCGTCGGAATATTCGATTTTCCCTCCGAACCTGTGGAACCTGTTGCGTTGAATTCTTCAGATCTTTTACGGTTCGTACTGTATTTCTGTCGGGATCCAGTTCTCAATTCAATTACGCTCTCTTTGTCCCGCTCACGTTTTCTCGGAAATTGAAGTGTTCATGCCCTCATAGTATTTTCTCTTATTTGTGTTTTTTTTTACGATTCTGATTCTGCAGAATTCCGTGGATCAATGGGGAAGAAGGAGAGCGAGGTATCTTCGATGGAGATCGACGATCTGAAATCCAACAATGCTGACCAGATCGTTCCAAAGTTCTCGATCAACGGTTAGATTTCTCGTGCAATGCAATTTTTCTCTATTGGGTTTTTTTAAGGGTGATCAAGTTCTGTGTTTTCTAGCCGAATTTCGGAAGTTCTTTCATTTCCTAACTGTTCCTCCGTATATGTCATGCAAATTCGGGTGATATAATACTTTACTTGGTTTTTTCAGTTCTACAGCTGCTGAAATCTTCTCAGATGCAGCACGGTCTGCGTCATGGTGACTACTGTCGTTATCGGTAGGAATACATTCACTGGCTTATTAGGGTTAAAATGTATTTAATGATCATCATCTCTATTCTGTTCATTTTTTCCTCTGCGTAGGAGGTATTGCACAGCGCGGTTGAGGAGGTTGTACAAGTCACTGAAGTTCACTCATGGCCGTGGTAAATACACCCGACGAGCCATAAGCGAATCCACTGTCACTGATGTTAGGTATTTCCTCTGCTCTTTCATCCTGATCCCATTTGCCAGATGGTATCACTGAGTATATAAACTTTCTGGCTCAGTTCAATCTTGAGTTTAGCTGAACACTAAAGGTTGGGGACAGGTTTGATGCCTAGAATAGGCTCACTAGTTGTTTCCGCAGCTCGTAGAGACTATGCAATAGGCGGTGAACTGATATCTCATGCTTATAATTTGCCTCATATTGTGTCATGGATTTAAAATAGGTTTCTTCATGTGGTCTTTTATATGGCGGAGAGAGCATGGAGTCATGCCATGGAGAAAAGACAACTTCCAGATGGTCCAAATGCGCGCCAGCGTATCTATTTGATTGGTAGGCTGAGGAAGGCAGTCAAATGGGCTTTGCTTTTCTCAAACTTATGTTCTATAAAGGCAGATTCCAGAACATCTTTGGAAGCTGAGGTGTGTCTGGAACTCTGAAATTCTCGTTACTCGTCTATTTAACATATCAAGGGAGAGACCCATATCTGTGCTTCTAGATTAGTTGTTCATTGTGCAACTTATAAATATGTGCTCCGTAAACACAATACATGTAATTTATCTATTAAGATTTATTTGGCTGGTTTGTAGGCCTATGCATCGTATATGAAAGGTAATTTGTTATTTGAGCAAGATCAAAATTGGGAGACTGCGTTGACGTGTTTCAAAAGTGCCAGGTTTGTCCTTGTACAATACCCTTAACTTGCAGTTTGCTAGTACCTGCATCTCAGACTTCTTGTGTGATAGGGCTGTTTATGAGGAACTTGGGAAATATGGAGATCTAGAGAATCAAGTTCTTTGCCGTGAACGGGTTGAGGAGTTTGAACCGAGCATTCGATACTGCATGCACAAAATTGGCAATTCAAAAATGCAGACCTCGGAGCTTCTTCAGATTGGTGAGATGGAAGGCCCTGCGTTGGACATGTTCAAAGCAAAATTAGAGGTAAATACAGATATTTTTAATCATAAAACATCGACGAATCTTTTATATGCCATCAAAGCAACTGGCTCACTTGAACTACTAAATTTTAAAATGATTCTCATCATTGCTGCGCTGCAGTCGACATTTTCATGTGTTAGTTAGTTTCCCCATCCGTTACAAGGGGTGTTTTCTTGCTTTGACCGACAACCACATATCAGGATATGACATGCATATGAAACATGATTGCTCCTGAATGTGTTGTCATTGGTATTAGATGATAATTTTGTGATCACCTTACGCATTCTTCTTCTTTTAATATGATGCATTGCACATAATGTAGGCTGCGATGGAAGAAGCAAGATCCCAACAAGCAGCCTCTTTAACAGAGTTCAACTGGCTTGGCTATAGATTTCCAGTTTTCAACGCAAAAACCCGGGTTTCAATTTTGAAAGGTCAGATATACTTCTTAAGCTGACAAATTATTTGAGGTTGGCAGTCTTTAAACCAGAAAGGGTTAGGTTTTATGCTGACAACCAAGTTCAATGTTCGGTTTTACCCATGTTTGCCATTTGTCAGCATCGGGCTTTGAGGCCACACTGAGGCTTTTATTCTTATATTATTGTTTCAGCCCAGGAACTTGAGAAGGAGCTCCATGGCCCAACAGCAGACTCCCTCCCTGCTGAGAAAAAGCTAACCATATTCGATAAGATTTTCTCTGCATACCTTGATGCCAGGAACACCATACGTAGTGACTTGGTTAGCATAATTTGAGTTCTTTGGAGTGGTTTAGGGACTTGAAAGATTGTGATAAAGAAATTCTACTTTCTTTAATTGATGTTCTAACGAGTTCAGTATATTCAGGTGAGTGCAGGAAATTCGGAAACGGTGAAAGATGACCTAAATGGTTTGGATAAAGCTGTTAATGCCATATTAGGACAAAGAACCATGGAACGGAACCAGTTGTTGATTAACGTTGCAAAGAGTAAGCTGAACAAGAGACGCGATGACAAAAGTGAAAAGGTCACTAAGCCTGAGGAGCTTGTTCGGTTGTATGACCTTCTATTACAGGTGACCACCACTCACATGCTTGCTTTTCTTCAGAAATGTTCTTTTTGTTTTAAATAAAAAGGGAAACCTTGCATACCGCTTTTATCTTTTTTGGTAGAGTGTGGCCGATCTCTCAGATCTTATCAGCTCAGGAAGAGACAGGAAACATGAAGAGATTGCCTTTGCTGAAGAGTGTCAGCACAAAAGTTTGGCCTTCCGTGCTGAAAGGTTCAATTCTCCCCACGCTTTGCTTTTTTCATTCTGGGTACTTGAGTTTTGGCTTGTCATGGTCTTGTCACATGATGCTTGATCGAAGTTGTTTGGAGTAAACCCCTGTAACCCTTTTTCCGATTCCTAGCTCATACTTCATTGTAACAATACTCATATATGTATGACTTCCAGTTATCGTCCCACATTCTTCACTGCCGTAAGTTGCCTAAAATGATCAAGAGAATAGTCATATGGGCATATGACCCGCTTGTTACTCAAAATAGATGTTTTTAACTATCATATTCCTGGCACCTGGCTTTTGCAACAATAGTGCTCTAGGATCTCTATAGATTGATTTAGTTTTCGTTTCTCTTTGTTGAATTCACAAATCGTGTGCTTTTGGAATTATTTTTTCCAGATGTTTCTATTTGGCAAAATCATATAGTCTAGCAGGGAAGAGAATTGAAGCATATGCCTTGTATTGTCATGCTCGATCTCTTGCTGAAGAGGCCCTACATCAGTTTCAAGGTTCAGCAAGTCGCGACGAGGTATATATGCAACTCTCTATGTTAGCAATAGCCGTACGAAGTTATGATCTCCTGTATGCACCAAACATATAGTTGGTTCATAGCTTAGTAGCCTAGAAGCATCTTATTATATCATACTACTAAATATCCTTCAGAAAATTTCAAGCTATAAGTATAACTGTAGTAGAAAATACTTCAAAAGAAAAAGAGAATTTGACCAACATTTTTTTTTGTAACTTGCAGGTAATGGTCCAGGAACTGGAAAGATTATGCAGAGAAAGCCGAGCTAACTGTTGCATAGAACATGCACTTGGAATTATGGAGGCAGAGAAAGCTCCTGAAAATCTGTCAAAGAAAATCTCCTCTATATCACTAAATGAGACAGCTGCAAAGGTAACCCCCATCTTCTGTTGTTTTATTGTTTCCGAGCTCCAATGGCTAACTAACCTCGGATGCTATCGGGTTCAGGTGGAGGATTACCTTTTAGACAAGCTTGGCGTATATGAATCTGCAGTCGGTGCTTCGAACGTGAAAACTGCACCAAAGATTGAGCGGTTCCCACCTGCGTTCCAGTCTATACCGCGTAATCCAATAGTTCTAGACCTAGCCTACAATTGCATCGATTTCCCGTCCATTGAGAACAGGATGAAGAAAGATGGGAAGAGCTTCCTTGGCCGCTTCTGGCGTTGAGTTGAGCTTCTTCTCCTGGGTTATGCTCTCTCTGTTTTTGCCAGGAAAACGCAATTTGGATCATTTCATAGCAGCAGACATTTTTCTTGTGGCTCTAACTCAAACCGCATCTGAGAATTCTGTGGGTTCAACAGATTTTTCCTGGAGGAGAATCAAAGTTTAGACTGAGATTTCAAACATTAATTTTGGCTTGTTGATACTTTTTGCTTTTGGGAATTTGTACATTATGCCATTTGAGAGTGTTATCTTACAGGTAGAGAGCAGAGGCCATGCTTTTACCCGTACACCTCCCTGGATACAAGTGAGGGAAACAAACTGGCTTCAGGTACCGAAATCATCTCTTTGCACATCTCGTTCAGACACTTGATTTCTTTTTTTGACTTCTGAAAGATAGACAGCCCCATTAACATGTAATGTTGTAAGCTCTGTGTCCATATAGTTGCATCCATCCCCTCCCCTTTCTTTCGGGGCCGGCGATTCTGATTCTGATTCTGGTGGGGTGAATCTGAGCCACCGAATCTCTCTTTGAGCCTTATATCCGAAACCTCCCTCCCTGAATGTGCCGTGGATGATGTCGGAACCTGTCTCTTAGGGATTCTGGTCCGGAGACAGGGGATTGCTTCTCTCTGTATATCTCTGCAGGTAGACATTTTGGTCGAATAACTAACTCCCTCTAGCCATTATGCATTGAGCAACCACTGCAAAATGCTGATCGGTTTAAACGTTTTAAGCGTACCGCCAAATGTGGATAACCGGGTCTGGTTTTAAACCGGTCTAGATTCGGGTCTAGACCGATAGTTGTCTCTCAATCTAGCCTCGGACCACCATTGCACCTTCGCTCTCTACAGTTCCAGTCCGTCTCAAGATAAGCTTCAAGTCCTAAGCAATAAATCGATTACATTATATATATATATATATATAAGAAATTTAGAAAAACAAATATTGGATTCCTTGGCATCTTTCAAATATATTGGATTTTAAGTTTTTTATTCCAAAGAGGTGTACATGATATTCCGAAGCAAAAATTAAGATTAAAAAAAACAAAAATACCATTGTGTTTGTATTTTTGAAAATTATATTGTAAAAACACAAATCGTCGACCATAAAATTCAATCAGAACGTTTCAGAACTTCGTTGTCAACTTTTTAAAAATTTTAATACAAAGTTTAAATTATCCACATTTTTTAAAATATCGTCATTCTTTGATAAATAAATAAAATATTTTATTAATTAACCGAACTGGCGAATATATGATGCCCACATATCCTATCATTCTAACACACCATTAAATTATTCCAATCGACTTAATTAATTGAATACTCGGAAAACATTTAATTATATGTATATACTTTATTTATATTTTACAAAGTGGAATCTAATGTGTTTATATACATGCAATTCATGATAATAAAAAAAACAAATATACTTCCTGTTTAATAATATAATTATTAATTCATAACTGTCGGAAAGGAAAAGGGAAAACCATATCAGTTTTATTCACTGTGAAGAAGATGAAGATAGATACGGACAGAAAAAAGTGGCGGACTAGGGGGTTTTTTTTTATTTCTGCCAAAAATAAAATAATGTATAGTTTATTTATTGTATTTATATATTAAAGCTTTGATATTTGTTTAATTTTCTTTGTCCAGAAGGGCAGCCATGGAAGCTTTCAAGGGTGTGGAACACGATCACCACAACAGTAGAGTTTTCAGCAATTTCTTTTCCCCCATCGCACGATCTTCCCTTATTTTCCGCCCATTTTCCCACTCTCCAAACAACCCTAAACGATCGCTTCGGAGGCCCCAAATACGAAATCGACTTTTTTTGGCGCAGAGAAAAAGACACCGGAATTGTCTCTGTCTCTGTCTCCGCATAATTGAAAAATTTCCCATTTTTCCATTTTGGAAGAGGAGGATACCTCCGAGGAGGAGAAAGGAATAGGGGGAGGAATTTTTTTTTGTGTGGTTTCTATCATTTCGTTTCTGGCCGGAAAAAGATGAATTTCACGAAGCTCGATGATTCGCCGATGTTCCGGCAACAGGTTATTGTTTCACATTTCTTTTTGTGTTTGGTTTTTCCATGAGGGTTGATTCTGCGAAGCATTTTGATCGGTTCTGTTCTTAAGTTTTGGACATTGATCGATGAAACGCAGGGCATTCTTGTGGGTCACTCGTGAAATTTCTTGTGTTCTTCCTTTTTTTTAATTTGGTGGGATGCGATCAGAGGAATTACATGTAGTTTTATCAAATTGTGCTATGTAAATTTCTACTGCATTATGAAGAATGCGGAGAATATCCTCGATGTAATGTGGATGAACTTGCAAATCTTTCATCGGTTTCAATTTCGAATTTGGACTGGAGAATTAATCGGAGCAAAATTTAGTGTGTAGACATGAATTCTTGTTTCCTTGCCTATCCTCTTCGAGTCTTTATTTTACTTCCTGTCCACGCAACAAGGCACATTTGTTTCATCCACAAACTTTTTATTCAAAATTTTCACTTTGGTTGAATTTGAAACGTCACGGATCTACAAGCCAAAGGCCAGTATTTGTATATTGAACACATTTTCCAAAATTTGATCTGAACTTTTTGTTTGCTTACTATGTTTATGTGTTTCAGATGCAATGTATGGAAGAAAACGCGGAGTTGCTGCGGATGAGAAGCTTAAAGTTTCATAAAGGATGCAGGAAGTACACGTAAGCCCTAGAAAGAATTGGCCATTACACAACCACTGTGCTGGTTATGGTTTAAAGAGTTAAAGCCTGCTGTTTTTTTGAAGAATCCTATGTCATGGCCTATATGTCCTGTTGATTAGGGAAGAGCTGGGAGAAGGGTATGATGCAGATATTGCCTTTGTAAATGCGCTTGAACATTTCGGAGGAGGCCATAATGATCCCATTTGTGTTGCTTTTGGAGGTGTATATTTATCTACTCTCTCTGGTTTTTCTTCACAGTTTCTCTTTAATCATCATGTTGGCTTTTCTTAAACTATTTTCTGAAGGAAATGTGTTTTTTTTTCTTGCACAGGTCCCGTCATGACGAAATTCACAATTGCTTTACGAGAAATTGGAACTTACAAGGAACTCCTTCGCTCCCAGGTACTGAACCTCCAATGCTTATGTAGAACTGACAACTGTGAAAATATTGCAGTACTAAGTGCAAATCTGTTCTGGGTGTCTCTTCCTTTGTTGACCTGATTCCGGGTCCATCTTCTTAGAAAGAGTTTTTTTCTTCCTTTTAGTTGGCTTCTTTTTCTGAGAACTATTTGATGTAGGATGATTTCTTTCCTGCAGCTGCTATTAGTTTTTGCTTTTTGTTCACGTGTGATGATGCCATTCCCAGGTAGAACATATGTTGAATGATCGATTGCTTCACTTCGTAAATGTTGATGTCCAAGATGTTAAGGTATGCTGTAATGTGAACCTAATGAAATATGACTGCAATATTTCTCTGAAATTTTGCATTGCATACGTTATTTTAGTTTGTTGTCCCATATAAGTTTCGAACTACATCCCATATGATGCAGGAAGCTCGAAAACGCTTTGACAAGGCTTCCATTATATATGACCAGGTTCATTGAATTTTTTTATATATATAAGTTGAGTTAATCTGTATCATATGTTTCTCATTCTTTGAACTATGGTTTCATGAGACAGTCACGTGAGAAGTTCCTTTCACTGAGGAAGAGCACTCGATTGGATGTGGCAGCTGTCATAGAGGAGGTTTCTGTCCAATCTTTATCATTTTTTTTTCAGTACAACTGGTCACAGGTAACCTTCATTTTCTTTCTGATAATAATCTAATTTGGTAGAGAGACATTCCAGGAACTGCATAATGCAAGAACGGCCTTTGAGCAAGCCCGGTTCAATCTGGTAAAGTAGCTTATTGCTATTACTGCTGCATGTTGAGATCCTACCAAGATAGTTTCATAAATCTCATGGTGCTGAATCAGGTCCGTGCACTCTCTAATGTGGAAGCTAAAAAGCGATTTGAGTTTTTGGAAGCAGTTAGTGGGACAATGGACGCTCATCTTCGATTCTTCAAGCAGGTAAAAATCTCCCTAAAATACCTATAAAACAGCAAGAATGTAAGTTTCTTCCTTCCTGTAAACCAGTCAGCTCAAGATTACTTACAAGGGACTCGTAAAGTGGAAGAAAAACAAAACTGTTTCTGTTGCCTTTCTTATGAATGTGGGTCGGTAATTTTTTCCTTTCAGGGGTATGAACTATTACATCAAATGGAGCCTTTCATTAATCAGGTCTGATACTACAAAGCTCCTTCCACATCAAGCATGGTTCTCTCTTTAATATTTTGATTTTTCTTAGATCCTCCATAGTTAAATCCATTTAATCTACAAAGCAGCTGGAACTTCTCTTTGAATCTTTTACCTCTCTTTTTTTCCCTTTGGTTTAGAATGGGAACAAGGTTTTTCTTTTCCTCAGGTCATTCCGTGTTTTTTCAATTACTTTTCAACTCCTTTTCATGGAATTAATACCGTGTTTTTGTTTTTAACGGCAGGTTTTGGCTTATGCACACCAGTCCAGAGAATGTGCCAACTACGAGATGGCATCTCTTAACGAAAGGATGCAGGATTACAGAAGGCAAGTTGATCGAGAAACTAAAACCTCAGGCGGATCTCCAACAGAGGACGGCATTAGACAGCTCTCAAGAAATTCACAGAAAGTCATAGAGGCTGTAATGCAATCTGCCGCTAAAGGAAAGGTAAAACTTTTTGTTTAGTGCTTAAGCTTGTACGTAAACTTCAATGAACATGTACGTTGTTTTTATTTTAAGAATTAGAACACTCCTCCGCGGAAAATTAATCCTCAATATACTTTTATCGTACTCTTAGGGAGGAAGAAAAAATTTCCCTTTGGAATTCCTTAAGAGTATAAAACATGACATGGCTATCTAATAAGCTGTTCTCATTTCTTTAACAATTTCGTTTTTACACTTATCCAGAAACTTGTCGAATCTCTTCAATGCAACAATGATCATATCTTATTGTGATTGCTTTGCTGCCCTTCAGGTTCAGACTATAAGACAAGGATATCTATCTAAGCGTTCCTCGAACTTGAGAGGTGACTGGAAGAGAAGATTCTTTATTCTCGATAGCCGAGGGATGCTGTACTATTATCGCAAACAATGGAATTGGTCCTCGGTAATTCAAAATCCAATAAAATTGATAGTACTTATTCTTTGACCAAGTGTCAAGAAGAGAGGTGCATACTGGAAGTTTCTGTTTGATCCTTTTACTGAATCTTTAGGCCTCTATGTATCAGGGTAATGGAAACCGATCTGCTGTATATAGAAATATGGCTTCGGAAAACAGTCCCGGGCTGCTAAGCCGGTGGTTGTCTTCACATTATCATGGTGGTGTGCACGATGAAAAGCCAGTTGCCCGTCACACTGTGAACCTGCTAACCTCAACAATCAAAGTTGATGCAGATCAAACGGATTTAAGGTTCTGCTTCAGAATTATTTCCCCAACAAAAGTTTACACATTGCAGGTATCTTTTCTAAATTTCTAAGTCCCGGTATAAACTTTCTGGAAAAGAAAACGATATTGCTATCATCTCACCTATCCTGCAGTAATTTGCTTTGTTTGAACAAAGCTCTGGATAGGTTTTTGCAGTATAAATGCATTATAACTGTACAGTTGAGACTGAATAATATTTTCCAGAGGACAGTTTGACAAGGAATTTCTCTCTTTATACCAACTTCACTGACTAGATTTATGAATGCAATACCATTTATGTAGGCAGAGAATGCGCAAGATCAAATGGACTGGATTGAGAAAATAACAGGAGTAATTGCTTCTTTATTGAGTTTCCAGACACCTGAAAGGGCAATCATGGTATGTTTGTATATCCATTACTTCTGATTGTTTCTTTTGGTGGGCATTTTCACTTTTGACTGAAATATCATTACCTGTGTGTGGCTCTATCAGCGTCTCTCTACTACGGAAGGAGGTGATACTTTCTCGGCAAGTGACTCTGGTTCTTTGGCAGATGCACCCGATATTGACCCAGCAGAAAATGGCGAACCCATCTCAGACCATGCCATTACTGGAAACTGTTTAAGGTTTTCTGGGTGCCTGCAGCAACAGGACATGACAAAGAACGAAAAGCCAATTGACGTGTTGATAAGAGTTCCCGGGAATGAACAATGCGCTGACTGTGGTTCTCCTGAACCTGATTGGGCTTCTTTGAATCTTGGAGTTCTTATTTGCATTGAATGTTCTGGTATCCATCGTAACCTCGGGGTACATATATCAAAGGTAACCAACTGATCAAATCAATATTTCGCGCAAAAGTCTTAATCTTTTAGTCTTTTACGAAGGGGGGCAATACAATACAATCCATCATCATACAGGTCAGATCACTCACCCTTGATGTTAAAGTATGGGAACCATCTGTCTTGACATTATTGAAGTCGTTGGGTAACATATATGTGAACTCAGTGTGGGAGGAGTTGTTGTATTCCAAAGGCAAACCTTCTAATGATGACAAATCTTCTGGGTAAGAGAAAAATTCTGAAATCATTTTTTTTACTGAGAAAATGAAACTACTTTTTTTGCATCAACAAGATCTTGAATTTCCATATTGTAGCGCTCCCAAGTCTGATCGACCAAGAAAGTTTCTCGCGAGGAAGCCTGGTTTCAATGATCCAATATCCGTGAAAGAGCTGTTCATTCATGCTAAGGTATTTGCTCTGTTGGCTTCTTGAACCAAAAACAACTTTGCATTTGCGCACTGGAATTCTTATGAAAGCTACAGTTTAGTGTACTTCTTTGTGTTTTTTTGGTTGTCAATTTGGTAAGTGGTGATCTGTTACAGTATTCGGAGAGGATTTTTCTCAACAAAGTAGCAGACAGCAAGCATTTCCCGATGGTTTTCCAAGAGATATGGGAAAGTGTTCGTGCCAATGACAAGAAATCAGTGTACCGTCACATTGTCTGTTCTGAAGTAGATGTGAACGCCATCCATGGGCAAGCAACATACACTGTATCTTTGCCCCTAGCAAAGGTGATGCAATTGGAGGAGGAGGAAACCCTTGAAGCCAAATTCAAAGATGAATCCCGTTGTGAAAAGCCCGAGATATATTCTGACGCATTGGAAAACGGGGAAGGTTTAGTCAGTGAAGAGACTTCCAATGACTGTTCTGTGCTTCACCTTGCCTGTCTCTATGCAGATATCGGCATGGTGGAATTGTTACTTCAGTATGGTGCAAAAATAAATGCAACAGATTCACAGGGCCGGACTCCACTTCATCATTGCATCATAAGCCGGAGATATGCAATTGCCAGGTTGCTACTTACGAGGTAAAACTCTGTTCATTTTAGTTATGACTTCTCTATTATAGTACCTAGCTTTGGGCTTCATCAACTTTTATGCTGCCTTCCCCGGTTTTATCCATTGCGCATTTCCAGAACATCAAAAAGAGCATGTTTAGGTGGAAGAAGAAGAGGATATGACAGCAGAAAAGTACAGTTTCAGTATAGCATAACATAAATATAAGCCTTTAACCCTGTTAAGCATGGAACCATCTTCTGTAATGGCATCATTTACCGATACCCTACCATCTTCTGTAATGGCATCATTTGCATTTTTGCTATCAGTATACAATACACGATCACTATTCCAATCTTTTCTATAACATGCTTTTAAACTAATCAGACTTTACAATCAGCCATAAGACACTAGTTATCGTGGTTTCAACTGCAGGGGGGCAGATCCAAACGCTGTGGATAAAGATGGCAACATACCTGTCAACTACGCTTCAGAGATAGACCTTAAGGACAATGAGCTGTCCACATTGTTAACAGACGGCAGAAGATGATGATACTGTAACAGAACTGGTACAGTAGTCTTTTTCACCAAAACTGTTGGTAACCCGAATTCTTATCCTTTATATTCTTTGGACCGATCTGACCCGGCAGGGTTGCTTTGGACCGAGTCGGTAGTACAGCATGTACGTAGGTTTTGGTCTAGTTGGTATATAACAGTTGGCATTGTGGTGTACACATCAGTTTTTTGGAGGGGGTGCATGTTCTAAAGAAGAATCTAAGTTTCGGTTTCATCATATGATATCTATGTTTGTTGATGGAGTAATGAAAAAAGACATGTTCAGTTCAGTTCATGTTCAAGCTGCAGTCAAAACAAGAAGTACAGAGTAAGAGAGAACTTGATATTGAATAGAGGAACTCAAAGCTCAGATCAAATCTCATATATATTGTTATCTTGGTACTGAGACCATACACAGAGTACATGACTGATTACCAGGATGGATCAAAATCCAGAAGAGAGATTATTGACATTTGTACATCATTATGATATCAACTTGAGCAGCAAAGAGAGAATGTGATGTGTGCATCAGTAAAACAATGATCATGCCGATGCCATCAGTATATCACTGTTACCTTGTTTTTTTCTTCAGAGTTGCATATCTTCAGCATTTGTAAGAAGGGTCTGTTCCACTCGCTGCAAATCACATCACAATCAGTCAAATCTTTCAAGTTACAAAGCAGGAAGCGTCTGTTACTTCGGTTTCTGACTATGAGGCAGCAACATCAGTTGTTATCCTCTGCTTTGAGGAAAGTCCATCTGTTTTAGAACTGATTTAGATTTTACTTCGCTAATTAACTCGTTTACATTACTAACTTCCTCTGCTGCGTCCACTCCTCTGGCTTCAGCTAAACCAGAGAGTAGAACCCTGCATGCAGTAACACTGAGCTTACACCTTTCATCTGCAATTTCAGTGAGCAACATAGAAACTGGCAACTCTTTCTGGTTCCTGGGAAGATCTTCCACTAGTAAATGAAAAAGATCATGATCCAAAACCGCATCCGTGGCAAACATTCGATCCACATACATGAGTGCTTTTGTCAGCTTCCCTTCCTTCAGGAATGCACCAACAATAATACCTTCAATGCCTCTAGCCACAGCCTCATAAAAATGAGAGAACATCTTGGATCTTTTACCTGTTCTGTCATAGCAGTTTAGAAGTGAAGTATAGGATACAGCATTGGGCATCAGATTCTTCTTTTGCATCTCTTGGAGGCACTCTTCTGCAGCTTCCATGCTCTCTTCTTAGTAGAAATAAGCAATTAAAATACTATATGTTATATGATTTGGCTTTACATGCCCATCAAACCTCCCATCCATTAGCTTATTTATCAATTCTGCATTTCCCAACTTGCAGACCCAATTGATCAAAGCATTGAAAGATGCTGTGGAGGCGCAACCCTTATCGATTGTCTCCCAGAAGAGGGTCAGAGCCCTGTCCAGATTATTCATTCTGCAACACCCATCCACAAGTGTAGTGTACACAAAATTATCAGGCACTGATCCCTGTAGTTTTATCTCATCAAATAACCGAAATGCCTCAGTTAAATCCCCAGATTTGCAACATCCAGCAATAACTATAGAATCACTACACTCTGGGACAAACCTTTTCCCCACATTCCATCAAGCAGTTCCTTGGCTCTCCTGATTTCACCAGACTTGCAGAAACTGCCGAGCCATGCATTGCATGTGATGACACTGGGAGTCACACCTTCTTGAACCATCTCTTGGTAAATACGAGTAGCCTCGTGCATGTTTCCCAACTGGGAAAAGCCACCAATGACTCAATGAGTGTGGTGTGAGAGATGCTATCAGGTCTCATGCCCTTTCCACGCATTTCTAGAAACATCTCCACGGCTTCTTTAAGTTTTCCATTTTCAACAAGACCACTCATAAGAACAGTGTACATCTTAGCATCCCCTTCTATCCCCAATTCAAGCATGGATCTGAACATCAAAACTGCCTCTGCTATTTTCCCCTTTCTACAATACCCTTTCATCCATGGAATTACACCACATCCCAACATCTCTCTCATATACTTCTCTGCAACTGAAAATCCCTCTTCCTCTATATATTCTTGGACAAAATCTCCATAGGAGTACGCATCCAGCTTAGGTCCACTTTCAACCATTTCAGCCAGATAAAACGTTGCTTCTTCCACCCGTTTCGCCTTTGGAAGGCCAATTATCAGAGAATTATAGCAAAAGGTAACATTATCAGGACAGACACTAAAACTATGCATCTCTTCCAGCATCAAATTTGCGTTTACTAACCCTTTTCCAATTATTGACTTCTTCAGCTCGAATGCTTCATAAACAAAAAGAAATCCAATTTCTGCTGCATACCCTTTTGAGAATCAACCCAATTGAAGAAACCCAGCCCAACAGGGTCAACGACACGCTTGAAACGAATAACGGAACAGAACAACATCTGGGTTTATCTCGTTGGAAGGGTTCGGCGATTCCAACGGCTCGTGCCAGTTCCTCTGGTTAAGAATGGCCGCGATTCCAGTTGAAACGTCGGAGAGACTTCCGGTGTAAGGATAATGACCGGAGAAGAAGAAGATCCCTTCTTACGACCATGCGTCTGCTTATGTATAACGTTGATCACATCGGTCGAATCTTGACGAAAGGAAGGAACAGAACAGAAGAGTAGAAAACTAAGTGAGAAGAGCTGTGGGACAAACCCCGGCGTCATCTCAAGACGGCGATGGACCATATACGACGTCGTTGTGATGAAATCATAAATGGGCTTTATATTCATAAGGCCCAAATTGATGATTTTAAAAATTGGGCCCATAACTATTAGGCCTATCCAATAGTTTGGACTTTCTACACCTTATTAACCTATCATTACTCATTACCACTTGGAAACATTAAAGAGATATTAATGAGTTTAAAATTCCAGATTTAATCGTACATTAAACTTAATATTTATTTAATTTAACACAATTTATATGTATGATCCAATGAAATCCACTTCCTTTATCAAGTGGTACGATTGACATATTATTATAATTTTTGTTATTTCAAAATTTTTACATTGTATTTTTAGAAACTCGTTATTATATATAATATATCTTTAATTAAATCAATTATTATATATTTTTTGTATTCTCTAATTTATTGAAAAACTTTCAACACAATTTGAACAATATATATATGTATGTATGTATGTATAATGATGTTACTTAAAAAGACCAAAGGGTGGGTCTCAATTTCAATATTCATATGAAGAAGTTGTGGGGGGAGAAACATCATGAAGATTTCCACTAAAATGTCAAATGGTGCATGCATGTTTACCAAATCCATACATGGCGTTGTGTGAAATGCATGGTTTGACCAATTCCTTGCATTTAATTATATTATTTCTCGTGGAGTTTTTAGGAAAATCGTACGGGCCCAATTAAATTAATCGTGTGAAAAATCATATATTATCTTCTGTGCATTGCATGGCTTGCACGTGCGATAATTATTTGTATAAATCACAAGGATTAAATGTGAACAGTTTTTAGTCAACAATGATTAATTGTATGTATAGATAATATATGTGTGTATATAAATATATATATATATATATATGATTACAAGAAAAATAAAAAATAAAATAATCAATTGAAAATTTTAATAACAAAAAATATAAATTCAAATTATAATTGTTGAAGGATGTCATTTAATGAAGTAATGTAAAAGACGAAAGAAAATAAAATAATAGAAATGTTGCGTGTTGACTTTGACTGTGTTTGTGGAAACTGAAGTTGATCAACCATAATAACAAGGTTTGAATAATTGTGCTGCAATCAAAGGAAGCAGTCCACTAAAACAAATCACAGCTAATCAAATGCCACTAATTTGTTTAATTAACAATAATCATCATCATTACACGCAAAACAATTGATTTTTAATTATGCAAATCAATTCAATATTTTTGTTGGAATTAGGGCCGTGAAAAAAAAAAGATTTTGTAGCTTTTATTAATACATTTTTTATTTTTAAAATGCTGTTTCGATAATATTATATTTTTGAACACTGAAGTGAATGAGAGAGACAAATTTTAAATCATAGTAAGTAAACAATTCGATATTGCAAAACGAATTAATTTAATTTAATCTGAAAATGATTATTTTTCATATATTTTTAATTAGCTGTATTTTTTATTTAAAAAAATTGTAAATAAATCTCCATATTGAAGATCGATTTGCAAAGTACAAAATTGTAAGAATTGAGACAGACGAGACATGATGAATCACTGTCGGTGGAGGAGAGTCCGTATTGAAGATTGTCATCGACAGGATATTATTAATATTTTTCCAACCAATTAAATAAAAGTTTACGCACTAATCTCGGATTAATAAAAATACCCATTAGAGAATTGACACGTGGCACCGATCGAGGAGGCGTTAAACGTATGAACGCGAGTAACCAGATTTCATTGTCATGTACACGTGTCGATTTTAGAGTTGCTTATTCGAATTTGTTTTGTATATTTGGCATTTGGAGTTTTAGAATCCAAATTTAAAACCCTAATTCCTGAATACCCAAACTTTGCATCAAATTTTTTTATGATAATTTAATAATTATTTTAATAATAACTTTTTAGTTATTTTAAATAAGAACTTTGTAAATAAAATAAAATTATAAGATTTTGACAATTTTCAGTTACTTTTATATGAATGCAATTTCTGAATAATCTTTTTAAAAATTTTTTAATCTAAATTGGTCACTTAAAAAAAAACTAGTTGAAAACCATTAGATTAATAAAAAAACTATATAATAAAATAATCAGCATATATAAATAAATGATGAATTTTGATAAAAACATGCCAAAAATACATTGATTAATTAATAATATGAAAATAACTTTTTTATAACTAAATGTGTGTTGGACCAAGATTCAAACTAATATCAAGGACGAGGATCATTAAAATATTATTGATTATAATGCACATTTATTGTTGTTTAAACGTTATCCATTATAATCAAATATTATATTTTATTGGACTTTGTTGTGGCGTTTATTTTTTTTTTATCATCTCAATCCCAAAATTTAAAACGGGATAACTCGTCTTAGATTGGTCTGGTCCATTCCGTTTTGAACTCGTTTCACTTGCGATTCATTTTTTATGAGGCATTTTTTTTTTATTCGATCCAAATTGACCTAATTCGCAAATAGATTTGTAAACCAAATAAAAAAAATATTTAAAAAAATTTAAAATAAAAATAAAAATTATCTGACTCG